TAGGTCCATCTTTACCTTTTTCACCGGAACATCTTTGTTTCCACAACGACATTTACAGAAATTCTCTACGTACCGCAAACAACGTGGTGCAACGCCGGCTCTACTTTTCGTTTTCTTTTTTTTCTATACGTGTGGTACTCGCGTCGCGATCAACGCGATACCATCGACTTGGAAATCGTGGCTCGATCAACCTCTTCGGGCAAGTTACGCGTCAGAGTGTTCAACTAAAAATTCTTAATCGAACCAAACGAGCTAAAGGGGTGAATAATCTCTCGGTGTTTCGAGTAATAAAATCAAACAAATATACGAGTACACGTTCCGTGCTGCGGTAAACTATCGCGACTATTGTCCCGTTTGCACCTGCTCGGTATCTCCCCTCTGCCCCTACGCCATTACCTCTCTCTCCCTTCTCTCACGCACAATCTCCCACTCCCCCTCTGACACACGCACACACGTCGTTCCTCTTAACGAAACAAACTCTTCGAACCTCGATCGATCAGGAAAATTATATACAACTTCTCGTTTAGAAAATGAACATTTATCGGACACATGAAATGCGAAACAACCGATACAATTCAATCGCGTTATTCGTCGAAAATAAATCATGGTAGATTAACGTGTTGGATATAGAAACATGACAAGCAGAGATGAGGCTTGCCGTAACAATCCTCGCAAAACGTAGCTACTTTAACGGTGCAGTTTCTCGCGACCTGACTACCAAACTTTTTCACGTTTTCTTGATAACATCTCTCGCAACGACGTCTTACTTTCGATACTTTCCCCTCTTTCTTTTTGATTTCGTGCCGCAGCAAGCTTCTCTTCGATGCATCTGCGAGAGACAAATTACGATCTCATGTTCGTCTATTCCGCGCGTCGTGTCAAAAGCGTTCCAAAGAAACTGAGTTTCACCGAGCGACCGTTTATTTTCCTTTCCTTCTCTTTCTCGCTTATATTACGAAGACGGCATCGAAAAACTCGAGGAAACGACTGTTTTCGCGTGAAAATCACGATCGCGCGTTATCGAGAATCTACGCGGCACGGAACGTGTCGTCGAGCCAGTGAGAAGAAACGTGTGTATACGGTTCGCGCGTTAAAGGTCTGAATCGGTCCGCGCGAGAATACGATCGATTCAAGGTAACAAGTCTCTGACGATGAAAACGACGACCTTCCCCATCAATGCGAGCACTCGTAAACAGCAACTTTTTACTTTTCCGTTCGATTCATTGAAATTGATCGTTCGACGAGTCGAGAATATGAGCACCGCGGTATCGAACGTCAACGAATCGTGCGTGTCGGTGTATGGCTCGAAAATCTAACATATTTCTCGAAATTAAGTCAACGTTATTACGATGCGATGAATTTGATTCGTTAATCGAAGGAACCAGCAGCATTGACGGAGAGATCGCTCCTCTCTCTCCGAAATTACCTTGTATCCCGCGTTGGATCGCCTCTTCGTGCGATCGTTACAACGAAACTTCTCTTTCTTACGATAAAAGCCGGCCAAGGAATAACGCGCGAAATTTCTCTATTAAACACGCCTATTCCTGCTTTCTTGGTACGACCGATAATCTTACTTACGTTTCGAACTTCCCTCTCCTAAAGTATCTCTTTTAAACGCGAACCGCGTATTTCTCGCGTTTCCTTTTATTTTCCGCGATGCGACACGCCGTGCGCAACAATTCGTACGAGCCAACTCTTTTAGCGTCGCATCTGCCAACGCGACAGCTGCGCACGAGTATCTACGAACAGATGCATCGATTCCAAGAGAAACGCGACAGCTGCGCGCCAACGCTTTTTTCCTCCAAAGCCTCTTCACCCGGTTCTTCTCTCTTTCGAATTTTACCGTCAACCGTGACAGTTATTTAAAAAAAAAAAAAAAA